TAATCGCACAGGTTGCAGATGATGGAGCAGGCCCTCTTGCAGCTTTCCAGAAGTCGCACCTCATCGTCACCAGCACAGCCACATGCCCGAGAAGCCCTATGGCTGAGCCGAGTGCTGCATGGCCTCCTCCCAGAACTCCTGCCTCGGCATCCACCGGTGCATGCACTGGGATAAGAAGCCCTCCGAATGCTTGGTGTTCTCGCAGAAGGTCAATCTCATCTACCACCATCATATCCACACCAAGGACAGGCTGCACAAGTGACCACAATGGGCGGGAGAGGGAGGGGTACTCCCAATGCAGTGGCGGAGGGACAAGGGTACGTGTGAACAGTGATATATTCTTACCTAGTATACTTGATGATGAAGGAGATCTGTGTGAACTGTGGATACAAAGTAGGGGAATAAATTACATCACCAAGACAGCAGATCTCATAAGCATCAGGACAATTCCAGATGGTACACAGGGTTATTTATGTTCCTGAATTTGCCACCAAACAGAATATTTATTTTTGAGTTGCATTGGTGAACTGAGCATAATTTTCAGTTTGTCGACCTCCACACAAACATACGGAATAACATATATCAAGACTTTCGACATTAAACCATACCCTCTGTCTTTGTGATTTGTAATGGGAGCAGTAGGAATTTATTAAGTAGAAGTCCATACATGATACCGCCTGTTATTACAGAGCCTCTGAATCTGGATGCTAATGATTTCATGACATCTTCTGATCTCTCTCAATCAGCTAGCTAAAAGATATATATTAAATATATGAGGCAATGTGGTAGATGGTCTAAAGCAAAAAGCATTAGAAAAAAACAACTAGAAATGATGGAGAATAAAAAGTTAATGTTCTTTTTAATGTATAATTCACCTCTCAGAATCAGTTTGCAGATGCCAGCTGTGGAGAGGCAACCAAACACCAGTTGATACTGAAGCTGCCCAGAGGGTCTAGTTTTACAAATGCAGAACCTTGTATGTCAGGGGCTCTAGGACCGAGCCTTTGGGCCGTACAGGGCAGAGAGTTAGTGAAATAACTCAAATCCAGGAGTCTCCAAATTCTGTGTATAGGGAGAGAGTAGACAGGTGGAAAGCTTGTCCTTCTCTCCCGGGGTGTGTGTGGATAAGAGCTTAGCAGGTGGACTCCAACACTGAGCTACATCTTGTTTGAGTTTTGAACTGGCCTTATTTGTGTCCTGGCTGAACAACAGAGCAATGAATGTAAAAATGTGCTGTGGTTTTTGAAACAACTTACAGAAGCAAAGATGAGATGTTTTGGGGAGACGACCCCTTGAGCCAGGTTGCTCAGGGTTCCCACGCGGACCCTTGTGTGTGCAGCAGCTGGTCCTGAACCTTTCTATATTTTCCTCCCAGTTGTGCTGTGAACCTAAAAGTGCTCTGCAAATAAAGTCTAGAAAGAAGAGGGTCCTAAATCTCACCTGAGGGAGATGACTGCCCATTTACCTGTGGGTTTTGGGGAGGAGGCTGAGATTTCTGTTGTTTCAGGTACCGGTGAAACAGAAGGCAAGGTTGGAGGTGATACAGAAAGAACTTTCGAGAGACTTCAGTGGTCAGCATTGGCACCATCTTGCCCAACCAGCTACAGTCCTCCCCAGGTTCCAAGTCTGCATTCATAGAGGTACACAGTCTCTAGAAAGGAGGGCGGGAGGCAGAATTTACTTGTACTGATGCTGCTGTAAGACTTTTAGGCCCTTTTGGGGGTATTTTTAGGCTGAGGACAGATGTTAGTCACATCTTAGGGGAAAGTTCCATGGAATTTTGGATCCTGGGCTTGGACCTTTCAGGGTTTTGGAATACTACTCGTTATACCAAATTATAAACCTATTATTTTCAAAGTGCCTTGGTACTGGTGAATTGTGTCCCACAATTGGCAAGCTGGCCAGTTTCTCACAACCAACCCTGACATGCCCAGCAACAAGACTCCAGGAGCTGGGCAAGATGGCACACACCTGTAATTCCACTACTCTGGGAAGCCAAGGCTGGTGGCTGACAAGTTTGAGCCCACTGTGGGCAATTTAGCAAGACCCTGCCTCAAAAAGATAAAGAGGGCTGGGATGTAGTTCAGGGTGAAGGCCTTGGATTTAATCCCTATAGTGAGCCTTCTTGGTCCTCATCACGGCCCAAGAAGTTTATATTTGTAATCCCATGGAAAAGTTATCAGAGATCTAGCAAGTTAATTCTAATCTACCACTTCGAGTGCAACCCATAGCGAGAATAAAGACATGAAGGTGTATTTGTAGGTGTGGGGAGCCAAGGGGGTCCTAAGTCCAACTAGGATAATGGCTAACCAGAACAACAGGCCTTGATGCTGGGCCAAACTTGGTTTTATTAATTTGTGAAGCAGGGAGTGGCTTGAGGATGAGTGGCTGGGAGAATGGTGGGATGTAGGTGAGTGCTGTGAGCTGGGCTAGGCAGGAGGCCTGAATCGTCTCTGCAATATGCAGAGAGAAGGATATGCAGAAAGAATAATCTGCCCATAGCACAATTCAAAGCAGTATCTAATGTTTTGGAGTAGGTGCTTCAGCTCTGATGTGTAATTTTCTATGCCCTGGGAAGTCACAGCCTCTTATCTTGAGGCTCAATCCCAGCTGACAGCATGGAGCATGCCTCTCCCTCCTGCCCAGCTCACATGTTTTTTGGGAGGTAAGGGGGTGGGGCAACACTGCCCTGTTTAAACTGCCACCTTACTTTAAAGACGACTCATCAGCACCACAGTTGGACTGATTTGCATGGCTTAAAGCCAATTGAAGGGATAAGGAAAAGTCTTAGCCAGCTCTGTACATATCAGTACATGGAAATAGGGCCATGTTTAGCCAAAATGGAGATAACTGCTCTTCTCTGAAGGGGAGTCCTCCAGGTGGTCCTCTGCAAATCCCCAGTACAAAGATAAAGGGGGAGGGGGAAAAAAAGGAAGGAAAGAAAGAAAGACTACAAGGGACGTGTTCTTGTTCTCTTCAGGGTTCCAGAGCTGTGTCCCAAGGGGCCTGATATTTAAGACCCCGAAATAACCCAGAGTTTTCTGTGGTTTAATCCTCCATCAAATCTTAAGAACTGTCAAGTTCATGGACCTTGAAACCTAAGAAAAGAACCTGAAAACCTGACCTTAAAGAGCTCACACTCTAATTGTGGGTAGGTGATTACTGAAGCAGATGCTAAAATTAGAGTAATAATCAATTTTATTAATCAGTGGTGATAACTGATGGGTGGGTACACAGGAGGGTTTCACAGAGAAAAACAGTATTAGGGTGGATCCTAGGCTCACAGGGATTTTCACAGGTGAGAATTGGGCACACCAGGGCCACCCGACAGTGTGACAGAAGCAGAAGTAGGTGAAAGCTTGCTGCATCTTGTAAATAGTTGGAGTCAGCTGTAGTTTATTTTACATACCTTAAAGGACACAAGTCTTCAGTGTGCATCTTGGTAAGAGGCTGCACATGTACACACTTCTATAATCCCCACCAAACCGAAATACAGAACTCTTCCAGCACCCAGGTTGTCTCCCTGTCAGCCCCTCAAACCCAGGTAAGCATTCTTAGGACATCAGCCACCATCCATTAGTTTGTCACTGCCCTTTGGGTGGCACCACATGGTAAGTGTTCTCTTGGTCCCACTTAGATTTAATGCTACATCTGTGGTGTCCTTTTCAGCTGATAGCTGTAGCTCATCCTTTTAAACAGCTATGTAGTACAGTGTTACCGTGGTTCATGAACTTAATTTATTCCACGGTTCTGGGGAAGATGACTGTGTTTGTGTTCATCACCCGATGCAGAGTTTACAAATGGAAGCATTGATGAACCAATGTCTTACTGTTATTTCATTAAGTGAATATGCCACATGTTATTGGAGACTCCTGCAGTGGACTCCAATCTCCCGCCTGGAGTTAGGGTGCGTGGTGGGAAGAAAGAGCAAGAAACAAAATAAGGGTGCAGCAGGGATCTGGGATGATCAGTTGTTCTCTGGGAACAAAAGGCCACAAGACACCCAGAACCTTGCTATTTATTCACTGAAGAAAATGATGAGGGGGTTGTGGCTGGATGTGCCAGACAATTGGCAAGGGTTGCAAGGCTTGTAAGATAGGGGACAATGCATTCTTACGGAAGGGACAGAACAGCCAGATTCAGGTTACAGTTGACAAGTAACCTGCTTTGTCACCAATTCTGGGGAGGAATTTTCCACTGGAGCCACGCAGGCCTCAGCAGAGACTCTATCTCATATCTTAGCCCTGTGGTATCACAGCTCATCTACCTGAGCTCAACCATGGACGGTGATGACAAACAATGCTAGGCCATCATCAGCCGCCTGCTTTCATGAAGCCACACACTCAGCCTTGGCCGGCCTCACTAATAAACTGAACACCAATTTAGGGAGGCCTCCTCTATACAGGCTGCACTGCTAATAAGTAAACATGATCACACTTGGGTCTGCGGGTGGTCGACGCAGTGGTCCTCCACAAGTTGTTTTTACCGAGTGCACCTTTGTTTCCGGTCTTTGTCTATAAGGAATGCTTCTGAAGACTTTACAACAGCACTTGTTTCTCTTCAGAAGATACTGCGTGGCTAGGTGTGGAGCAGCAGTTCTCAACCAGCGGTTCTTTTCCCCTCAAGGAACCTATGGGTAGTGTCCAGTGACTTATTTTTTTCAGTTTGGACCCAGGGCCTTGTGCCTTGCTAGGCAAGCACTGTACCACTGAGGCACACCTGAGCCCTCCAGCAACATGACTGGTTGTCACATCTCAGGGGTGGCATCTAGTAAGCGAGGCCTAGGGTGCTGCTGTACACCTACAGTGTACCGTGTCCCCTACAACAAAAATCTATCTGGTTCAAATATCAGCAGATACTGAGCTACATAAGAGTTGGATTTTGAGGTCCTTGGATGCCACCCACAAGTTTCTTTCCAGTGGGCACTGGGGAGCCTCGGATGGCTCTGGAGTGGGGAGATTCCCATCAGCAGGGGAGATTTCAGAAGCTGACATCCAGTGTTAGGTAAGCTCTCCCTGGAGGGCCGTCCCTGGAGTCCTCTGGCTGACGGCCCGCTGCAGGGCACCCTGCATGTCCCGGTTGCGCAGCGTGTATATGGCTGGGTACAGCAGCGGTGTGAGGTTGATGTAGATGAGGGACACCAGCTTGTCCTCCTCCAGGGATCGGCTGCTCAGGGGCCTGGCGTACATGGCCGTGGCACAGCCGTAGTGGAGCACAGCCACTGTGAGATGGGACACCACTGTGTTGAAGGCCTTGCGACGGCCTGCAGCATCCCCTACCCCCAGGATGACCACGAGCACCCTGGTGTAGGACAGCAGGATCAGGAACAGGGGCAGAACCAGCAGCAGCAGGCAGGCTACCAGGAGCACGTGTTCCTGCAGCTCCCGGTTCCCACAGGCCAGCACCAACACGGCTGGGAGGTCACAGAAGACATGGTTGACAAGGCCGCCATGGCAGAAGGGCAGCTGGAATATGGCGGTGGTGAGGCCTGCCGCCAAGACTGAGCCACCCATGCAGCAGCAGACCAGAAGGGCCCAGCAGACCTCTGTGGTCATGAGCTGAGGGTAGTAGAGAGGGCGGCAGATGGCCAGGTAGCGGTCCAGGGCCATGGCAGCCAGCAGCAGGCATTCGGAGCCACCAAGAGCCACAAAAAGGCCCATCTGGGCAGCACAGGTGGAAGCAGCCACAGCCTGGCCCCCAGGAGGCAGGAGGAAGCCAGCCAGCATGCGCGGGGTGAGCACGAGTGTGTAGGCCACCTCCACAGCCGACAGCGCACCCAGGAAGAAGTACATGGGTGTGTGTAGTGCAGGCTCGGCCAGGGCCAGGCCCAGGATGAGCAGGTTCCCTGCCAGGGTGGCCAGGTAGAGTGGCAGGAGCAGGGCGAAGAGCAGCACTCGGAGGCCCGGGGGCCACCCCGAGAAGCCCAGGATTATGAACTCCTGTGGGGCAGTCCAGTTGGACTCGGGCCAGGGGCTCGTGGGGGAACCTGAGGGAAGATAGGCACATGGGCCGGGCAGAGTCAAGGGGACACTCCTCTCCCAGGAAATGGGTCTGTGCTGCTCTTGAACCCGAGAACCTTATGCCAGCACTGTGGGGTCCAGTCCTTGCTCCCCAGGGTCCTCTACTTCTCCCAGACTCCGTACTTTCCACCCCTCCTGCTCTGCTATCTAACAGCCTCTGGGAACTCAGCTGTCTCAAGCCACTGTTCACCTTTCCTGCTGCTGTCCCATACCCTGTGTGATTCCAGGAGTCCTGGGTTCTTCTTGAGCCCTCTCACCCCTTGCCATCCCCCTTCTCCCCAGCCTTCTCCTCCTGCTTCTTTCCCTTCTCCTCCTTTTTTAGTGGTACTAGGGATTGAACCCAAGGCCTCAGACTATGCTACAACCTTGGCCCCTTTCTATAATTTTTTTGAGACAGGATCTTGCTAAATTGATAAATTGACAGGGCTGGCCTTGAACTTGCAATCCTCCTGCCTCAGCTTCCCAGAGTGCTGGGATTATAGGCATGCGCTACTGTGCCTGGCTTTTCTGCAGTTTTCTAAAGCCCAGGTCCATTTGGAAGGAGTCAGGCATCCTCTTTCCAGCTTGTAGTGCTGAGGATGAGGGGCTGCACACCCAGGGTGGAAAGATGTCTGAAGGGCTCAAGTTTCTCCCCCGGAACCTCTGTGTTGTGGTGTGGGCTGAGTGGCAGAGGTAGGCAAGCCTCAGACAGCCACAAGGATTAAGGAGCTTGGGCAGCGCTAGGTTCTTCTGTTCACAGAGGCCCACTGACTCCATCTATACCTGTGGCTCCCTGGGGAGACGTCACCTTTCAGGTCTGTGCTGATGGACCACATGATACCTCCTCTCACCTGCCCTGGGTTGGTTGGTTCTACTTATTTCTACCATTTCTTCTTCTTAGCTGGATTCAGGATAAGCACTTAGTAATCCAGGACCTGGCATTTCTGACTCTGCTATAAGGGAAAGATCAAGGAGAAGAGGTGGAGAAGAAGAAGTCCCCCACCCTCTCCCTGGGAAATGGCCACCTTAGGATGAACAAGAGCTTCAGCCAAAAAATTCCTACACCTGTCTCAAGACCCAGTCCCTCCTCGCTGCAGGCCCATGTGGCTCAGTGGTCCCCAAAAGCACCCCTCTATGCTTCCACTTCTGCCTGTGCCAAACTCAACCCATGACTTCAAGCCCACACTGCTCCTCCTGCTGCAAATGTAGCTGGCCCAGTGCTAAGACTGGAAACCGGGAAGCCACTCTGGGTTAATTCTCTCCTGCATCTTCTGGTACCGCTGACCACACATCCTGACAAATGTGATTATCCATAGACAAGAAAAGGCTTTCAGCCATCAGCAGCAAAATCCACCTTCCGTAAAGCAAAGCCATAAGAGAAGACACCAACGCTGACTGAAAACAGTGTGAGATAAAAATAAATCTCCCAGTGAGAAGAGGCCTTCTGTGACCTTGTTGATTTGCAGCTTGGACATACAAATTCAGCCATGATGCAGGTGTTTCTGGGAGAGTTACAAGGAATAAGAAGCCCAGGAAAAAGCATTTCCAACACGCTGTATTTGCTAACTCAGATCTTTCCCATGTCTTCAATCCCTTAGAAAAACCTTGATGTCTCACCCTCATGGTGAGATTTCTTTCTTGGAAACTCGCCCACTGTCCCTCTTGATAGTGCTCTCTGATCTGAACAAACTCTTGTCTTTGGTCAGTTCCTTTACCACCTGCATCACCAGCCCTCTCTACTGCTCCTCGTATCCTCACGCTTTCCTCTCCTCTTGTGATCCTCGATGACTACGACCCACTCCTAGCAGGTCTTCTGGCCCCAGCCGGCCTCCTAATCACTTTCTCCTACCAATAAGCAGTGTGACCATCCCTCAACTCCAGATATCAGTTACTCGCTTAGTTTTCTCCTCTTTACTTTCAGGAGTCCATGTTATTTAGTACAGCACTGTAGAATCTTTGCAGTGTGGCTTCTGGCTTTCACTCAAGCCTCTCTCCCCTGTATACCACACCTCCTCTACTTCAACCACTCACTTCCTGTTTGCACCACGTTTCACATGTCCTGGCCTCACTTCCGGGAAATCCCCCCCAGTCCCTGCATTACCTACCAGGAAATGTCCCACTCATCCTCAGGGTCCGTTCACATACCACCTCCTGGGTGACGACTTCTGCTCCCCTGGCAGGATCAGTGTCACCTCTGATCCTATAGTTATTAAGGCAATGCCACTAAACTTAATTTCCTGGAATCAAAGGTTGGAGTTGTATTTGTCTGAGTTGTTTGCTGAACTGGTGTAAACAAAGGCATTCATTACTCAATCCTCATTCCTCCCAGATTTGTGCTTCTTCTCGATGCCCCTACTTGGTGTTTGTGACTCAAGTTTCTGGTCCTGTATATCTAGAGTCACAGCCCCCACCCTTTACCCCAGCCAATTGTTCCACATTCTGTTGGATTCTTTCCTTGGCTTGTTTGTTTTGCAGTATGGGGGATTGAACCCATAGCCTTTGCACTGAGCTATGTCCTTGCCTTTTTTTTTTTTTTTTTTTTTTTTTTTTTTTTTTTTTTTTTTTTTTTTGGTCTTTTTGAGGTAGGGTGTCACTACACAGTTCAGGCTGGTCTTCAGCTCACTTTGTAGCTCAGGCTGGTCTTGAACTTGAATGGTCTTCCTGCCTCAGCCTCCCAAGTGCTGGGATTACAGACATGTACCACCACACCTGGCATTCCCAACTCTTTTTAAATTTGTATTTTAAAACAAACTTTCACTAAGTTGCTAAAGTACCAAGACTGGGCTTAAACTTGTAATTCTCCTGCCTCAGCCCTCCGAGTGCTGGGATTACAGGCACACGCCACCATGTCAGCTTCCTCGGTATTATTAATCTCATTATCAACCTCTAAAGAGGACATGTAATTAATCATCTTCATGGCAGGTGTTTTCCAAAATCACTAGAATCATGCCCATCTCCCCATCCACACTGAAGGTTGTGTGTTAGCTAAGAGATACACTATTATCCTCTCCTTTCTCTTCCTGTCCCCTGATCCTTAGTAATGTCCTCCATGGCAAGGTAACTTGAGCTTACCTCTCTAAGAAGCCTTGTACGGCTAGGTTGGATCACTGCTTCCACACCTACCTACCACGGTGGATGTCTGGCAAGGCCATGAAACTGCCAGAGAGGGCCAATGCGATAATACGTTGCCACTAGACCTGTCCCTTGATATTTAACCAATGGTTCCCCTCCTCCTGGGGGCCTGATAGCACTTTGAGGTCATTTTGGTAGAGCTCAGACCAACAGCCACTGCACCAACTACCATGAGGTCTATGATCTTCCTTGGGGAAGTTTCACTGTGACTGCTTTTCTTTGGAGAAGTTTCGGCTGTTTTCTTCCTGCTGGGGAGCTTCAGTCTCCATCTTCATCTTGGGCGTCATCTTCTGCCTGCCCGTGCAGATCCCTCAGCCTTCTGGCTCAGATCCTTCGGCCTCTCGGCACAGACACTTCAGCTTTTGGCACTGGCCGTTGGGCCTTTCTGGGCCAGATCCCTTGGTTTCCCGTTGTGGACCCTTCAGCTCCTGATGCGGATTTGCACTAGGACATCGCCATGGGTTCCAGGCCTTCAACCGGATCCTTCGGGTCTCCAGTGTGCAGACAGACGTTTTGCACTCTTCTGCATTGGGCTCTAGTGAGCATTAATACAGTGTTTAACCATAACAAAATGATAAGTGTATGCGCAGTGGAAACGCTTGATTTAAATATTACCTAATGTACTGAAACAATCACATGGTGCCCCATTAACATGTATAGTTTTGTTTCTATGTACCCGTTAAAAATTCATTTAAAAAGATTTCTTAATGTTTTAAGGGCTCATAAAGACTTTTGAACACATTGGTTAAATTTAGAATTAAAATCAGTAAGGGGGAGTGTTAAATAAGGCATAGTGTGGTTGATATTATTGATAGATCATAGAAGGGCCTATGGTCAATGTACCAATCAAGAAGGCTCTTTCAGCTGGGTATGGTAGTGCACACCCATAATCTCAGCTAATTGGAAAGCCAAGGCAGAAGGATGTTGAGTCTAAGGCCAGCTTGGGCAACTTAGTAATATCCTTTCTCAAAAATGTTTAGACGGGCTGCGGGTATAGTTCAGTGCAGAGTACTTGCCCAGCATGCGCAAAGCCTGGGTTCAATCCCAAGCCCTAAAAAAAAAAAAGCTCTTTCCGGCTCTCCCACCATGTGCATTTGCACATACGTGTGCCAGGATACAACGCGCTTCAGGATGTGGTCAGCTTCCTTTAGCTCTGGGCCGGCCTCGGGAAGTCTGGAATTGGAGCCAGAGGTTTGGGTCAGATTGTAGCTGGCCGCGGATACGCACGTGATGCCGCTCAGGTCACATCATCTTCTCTGGGTCTCAGATTCCTCACCTGTCGCCCCGATGTGGGATTCAGGCCCCTGAGATCACCCCAAGATCTAGAGCTGCTGCTCACAGAGGGCAAGAGCTTCTCTTTTGCTCTTTTTGAGCCAGCAGGATGCAGAGAACTTGCAGGAGCCGTGGGTCCGCGTACATCTGCGTATTGCTCTCCAGCTCTGTCAGTTACCAGACATCAGATTTTAGAGGGTTTTGTTTTATCTCATCGAGCGCCAGAGATATCCTTGGTTCTCCAGGACTTCCAATGATTGCTTTGCCTGGAGACCATCTTGCACAGTGGTCTCTGCACTCAGGAAGCACTAACAGTCACAGATACCAAACTATCGAGATGTGCTCAGTCCTTTCTCTGTTTCTTGCTCACCGCGCTGTGGTTACATTCTCCCTTAGCTGCAGCCAGGGGTGGTGGCGCACATCTATAATGCAGGCTTTCTGGGAGGCTGGGGCAGGAGGAGTGCAAGTTGAAACCCAGCCTGGGCAACTTAGCAAGCAGGCGAGACCGTCTCAAAAAATGAAAGGGCTGGGGATGTAACTCAGTGTGAAGGCCCGGGGTCCAGTCCTGAGTGCTGCAAAGCAGCCAAGCAAACAAACAAAAAAACGAGCCAACACCCTCTGGAGGAAAGACTTTTCTGCAAAGATGAAGTAAGTAGCGGGGGACAGAGAGGAAAGTGTGTGGATCAGGGTAGCCAAGGCAGGGAGAACACAGGATCACCTTTACTTACTGTTCCGACACCAACACCAGGTGCCTCTACACTTCCAGCCCTGGTCTCTCACCCCATCCCCTCCCCCCAGTTCTTCCTCCTTGCCCTCCCAGACTGACATTGCCTGATGCTTACCCTTCGTTAGTAACGTCCCCGTGTTTCCAAAGCGCTCATGGGAGTGAAACGACAGAGTGACAAGTACTGCTACTGTTACTATGCCTGCTGATTATTGAGCACTCATGCTGTGCAAAGGCATGTGCTCTTAGCACGAGGCACTCTGCCTCCCTCCCGCTACCCCTGGTTTCCTTCCTTTCTTTTTTCTTATTGGGGATTGAACTCAGGGGTGCTCTACCACTGAGCAACATCCTTAGCCCCTTTTATTTTTTATTTTGCAACAAATCTTGCTAGGTTGACAGTGCTGGGCTCAACTTGCAATCCTCCTGCCTCAGTCTCCCAAAGTTGCTGGATCACAGGCATACGGCATGAAGACAAGCCATAATATTACCTATATACAGTTATATTCTAACAGTTGCAAGACAGCTCTGTAAGAGGCATTATTATCATTTATACAGGAGGAAGCTGAGACTTAAAGAGATAAAGCTGTTAAAGAGGGTCACATAGCTTCTCTCTAAGCTGGGATTTCAAAGTCTGTGCTCTTGTGTAAGGAGAGCTACTCCACTATGTATTCCTCCGATCTGTTTGCATCTTTCCCACTCACAAGAAAA